TAGAGGCGACGGGGGCATAGGTAAAAAGCAGACATGTGTCAGCCTGACCAAGCCCAACACCGCTTTTGTTTTAGAAAAAAAACAACAAAAAAAAAACATACGATAAAAAAAAACTCAAATACATTCCCGAAAGAAATGCAAAAACAAAAAGGTTAAGACTAAAAAAAAAAAAAAAAGCATTTATTACCCCAAGAGATGCACATCCACTCATGATCAATCAATTACAGAAACATAATTTTGATGCAACGTGGCTTTAGAGTTTCAGCGGAGGGGCTGTTACTTATTGAATTATTTAGTATTGATGGAAGGTTATGTCTCATCATCTGCATGGGTTTCAAAGATAGTTCTTTTGTATGGTATTTTCTAGACATCTCTATAGCGAACGATGCACTATCATGGACACTGCTAGTTATAACTAGAATTTCATCTAAATTTCGGAGGGTGTATTTATGAGTTTATTTTTGTTAGATTACTAATTCTCCGATCTAGGGAGTTTATTTTTACTATGTTATTACATTTTCCAGATTGAAAATAAAGATATACAATAACCGGCAAGTATAACCCTGCCCTAGATGTTTAAGAACTCCCTTGTAGCACATGACATTGGCGCCCTTGCCATCGGCAATACAAACTCTCCCCAGACAAAGCTTTAAAAAGATGCATTAGAATCACTGAACTCCTTGATGTAGTCGTTTAAAAGTCTGTTTTATTTTCATCTCATTTTACCGCTTCTCCCGGCGGCTGCGAGGGATGGAGTGGTGAGATAGAAGCCTCAGTGGAGCTCCTAAGACATCTAAGAATCCATAGCTTTTACGGTTATCAAATCACAGCCCTACCTTCCTCTAAGAGGTTCAATCTGGAAAGAAAAACTGTGATTTGTGTCGTCTACCAGAATTACAATGCCCCGCTGTCCTGAACGAACCCTGTCTGGATAAGCGGTGAACCTTCTTCGGTCTATACTACAAGATTTCAAAGGAGGCCTCTCTTGAAAACCGCTGAGTTTGTGCTCTGACCAAACTTAGTTTTAGAAAACTGTTTATTTTTCTTTCTTTTTGGCCATCATGACCTCCATATTCAGAGCTTTCGGGAAAATCCGAATTGAACAAATTTTCACTGGCGAGTGTTCTTCGGATTTCATTAGATTTATCCGAAAACACGGAACCCAAGTTTTTACCAGACATGTACAAGTAGCTAAAAAAGGTAATAAGTTAAGTTACCGAGCATTTCCCTCAAAGGTAATTTGGGTTGAGTAGAAATTACTTAAATGGAAGGCAATTTAGTAAATTACACACTACCGGAAATAAGCAGCGAATTACTTTTGAATTTGCTTTTAAATTTTTATGGCAATAAGAAATATATAGGTTTTGATCTGTTTGCGAAATTCTGCTAGCCAAATATAAAACAGCTTGTGTTTTTACAGATATGCTATAATAACTGGTTCTACTTCAGCGTCCCTAATTGTTTTGCACTTTTTTGTATTTTGGTCAACGATGTGCTGCAGCTGTATCGTTTCTGCTTTGAAGTTTAGCACTGCTTGAGCTTGACTTTGTGGATAGTGTCTGCTTGTTTACAGGGTTGCGCAAAGTACATCTAACAAGTACTTGAAGTGAAGCGCAAAGTAAATGAGAGGTTATCTACTTCAAGTAAAGTTGTAAGTAGAGCTGGCGCAATGTACTTGAAGTAAAGTACAAATAATAGAGGTGTTATGTACTTCATGTAGAAAGCACACCTGGTGCAATATACCTGAAGTAAACTTCTATACATAAAATGCATTTTTAATGTTAAGTACTAGTATATTTTAACATAACCTTTTATGATTCACTTTCATTTCCTGTGCACGTTTTTTCTTTCTTTTTTTTTTTTAAACTGGTACGCATTGCTCGAATGGTAATCGGAGGCGTATCAGTTTTTTTTTTTTTTTTTTCGGAAATGGTGGCAAATATTGGATGAAGTCATGCCGCCACAGAGTAGTTCTTTTACTCCCGCTGACGAACTACTTACACAAAACACTTATAGGGCACTTATTTTTATCGGTCTTACAGCCCCAATTACTTCACTTGGCGAAATGACCAGATGACGTCTCGAGAAACGATAGCGCATTTTTATGTCATGAAACGCCATTTTTCGTTTTCATATTTGGGGAATGTACTTTTAAGTCGGAAGTTGAACTGTCCTCGGAAAATACCAGAAAACATACTTTAGTAAAGTACAAGTACATGCTCAGAGAATGTACTTCAAGTAATGGACAAGTTCTTTAAAGCTACTTAAAGTAGTACTTTAAGTACCATGTACTTATATTACTTTGCAACACTACTTGTTTATTATTATTATTATCATTTTTGTAAAAAACGGCGGGAGAATTCTTAAGATTTCTCGACCGATCTTCGAATTTCGGAAGACCTGTATATTTTGAGTTTTGAGAGGAAAGGCGACGCAAAGAGGTTGCCTTTATATTCCTAACGAGCTTGTTGGTAAGATGTACTAGATAACACAAAGTATAAAACAGAAAGAGGACGAAACACAAACGAGTACATTCTTTCAACTTGAAAGAATGTACTCGTCTGTGTTTCGTCCTTTCTCTTTTTTATACTTTCTGTTATCTAGGTTCCCTTTACGTTGCACTTTAGTACATGATTCTTCAAGTACCGCACAAACTAAGGGAGCACCAGCTGAGCTTCAGAGTGGGTGCTGCATTTCGTTGCCTCCTCTGATTGAGGATGTATCTGTACACCTCCTGTAATGGACGAGAGTTTCAACATTGGAAAAAAGCGGAGACAAATGCATTGTCTCCTTGAGCTTCGGGACACAAAGAAACGCCGACCTACGGCTTTAATCCCGCTGTTGCTCGGCCTCACTTGCGACATGTCTGTCCGCTCCGCGCGCCTCGTATCAGGGTTGTTGCAGTAAGGGGGGGGGGGGGGGGGGCGGCTTGTGAAAGTTTTAGGGGGTTTCGTACCCTCCAAACCATCCTCCGGACCCCCTTTTGCCTTCGCCACATGCCTCCCCCTCTTTGTAAATGTCCGCTGATCTTTTAAGAATGTATATATTTTTGTACAGGAATGTGTCGATAAGCAAACCTGCCGCGAAAATTGGAAAGAAATTTGTAATTTGGAGCAGAAGGTATTTGGAAAAGTAATTGAAGCAAACTAGTGAATAACGAAATAAAAATGTAATTGAAAATTACTGATCTACTAAGAAAAGCAGTTCAACTACAGTAACCTGAGTAGATTAGTTTTAATTACGTACAAGTCTGGTTTTAACACGCAAGCCATGGCCTTTCCGTACCCCCAGCGTCACATAGCAGACTCCGAAACACCGTGCGTGCCCCGCCTACCTTGTGCGGATGAATTACTCTTTCAGGTTGCAATCGCACCTTCTCCTTGTCATCTGTTAGGGCAAAGACGCCGCTGCCACAGCACTTGGCGCTGTTTGCTTCACTGGCTTTGTGGGCGTCTCTTTCGGTAGGGTGATTATCTGACTCAAAGAAACGAGCAAGCCAAACAACTTACTACCGAGCTAAGCATAATCTTTGCCGATGATTTTACGTATATCTTGGTATATTACTTTCATCAATCGGAAAGACGCCTCCTTGCTAATTAGGCTCAGCACAAAGGGGCCATGAAGCAAACCTGAGCAAGTGCTCTGTCGCCGTCTGCTTTTCGCCTAGCAGACGACAAGGAGAGAGTGTTATCAGAACCTGGAAGGTCAATTCCACCACACAGAGACGGCGGGGTAGGCGCGATGGTTCAGAGTGCACCCGCTACGTAGCGCTGGGGGTACGGAAAGGCCATGGCTGCCGTGTTATAGCAAACTGTCTTTGCGATAATACAAGTTAACATTTCGTGTTAAGTCAGCTATCTGGTCGATACGGTGAGTCTTCTTTTTGATGCATGGTGTGTACCTTTTAAATTAATGTGTAATCATAAAAATGGTGACAGGAATGAGATGCAGCGTTTTAAGAAAGAGGATCCACACGAATGTCATATCGCACATCGGTGATGTGTTAACATTCTGTTAACGGTTTTTGACAAATATCAGAAAATGGAAAAACCCGACAACACAGGAAATTCAGGGCGTTGCCTCCTCTATTACTGTTTCTTGCTTTGTGATTCGTTCTTTGTTGTTTTTTATCGACTAATGATGCGATTATATTGACTGAGGAGCGATAATAAGGTCTTTAACCACCCCGCTTTGCGTTTAATATGGCGGCAGTCACTACGAGAATTAAAACTGTTGTGTAGTTACCGCCAAGCGCGCGCTACTAGGACTATAGTGGCGGCGCTTTAGTTCCTTCGCTCTTCTTCTTTATCGTCGTGTCAGTTTGATAGCACGAGAGGTTCGTTCTAGTTCCACGCTCCATAGAATAAACTTCGGGCCATGGTCCTCCGGTCTACTGTGTCTGTTGCCCCGTCAAGACACAACAACTTGGCGACGAGGAGGCTTCGCTGAACTGCTACGCGGAAGCCGACATGGCAACGGGGGATCCGGCAGCGACGGGTCAAGTGCCGCAAGTCTTCGGCCGACTGGGACACATCGAGCCCTTCGACGAATCGACGAGCGACTGGCCGTCGTATGAGGAACGACTCACGTCGTTTCTTCTGGTCAACCGAATCGCCGAGGACGACAAGGCACACGCACTTTTGAGTCTCATAGGCCCGAAAATGTACAGTCTTCTGAAGTCATTGACCGCGCCGGAGTTGCCAGCAAGAAAAACGTTTGATGAGCTAAAGAAGCTTTTAGGGGATCACTTGGCACCGAAGCCATCGGTAATCAGCGAGCGCGCAAAGTTTCACAGAAGAATGCAGCTCGAGAACGAATCTGTAGCAGCCTTTGTTGCAGAATTACGCAAATTGGCGCAAACCTGTGACTTCGAAGCCGCACTTGAACAGTCCTTGAGGGACCGTTTCGTCTGCGGTTTACGCAGAGAGGGCATTCAGCGTGTGTTTTTCACAGAGGACAACAAGCTAACTTTCCAGAGAGCCGTCGAAAAAGTGCTAGCCATGGAAGCAGCAAAAAAGAACGTCGCTGAAACACATGCGTCAGAACCTAGAGTTTCGGACGTACACAAGGTGAAGGCCGTCGCGGAGGCGAACGTGACGCGGCGAGACTGCTATCGCTGCGGCTCAGCGAAACATGGAAGCCGGGTATGCCCGCACATTGCGGATATCTGTTTCAAGTGTGACAAGAAGGGGCATGTCCAAAGAGTGTGTCATGCTGACAAAGAAAAGAAATCGAAGTGTACGCCACGTAAGGCGATGAAGAAACTGGTTCCTGTTCAAGACCCAGTTGGCATGAAGGAAATGACCACGTCTGGTATGGAACCAATAAAACTCACAATAAACGTGCAGGAAGTTGCTTTGGAAATGGAACTGGACACAAAAGCAACTGTTTCTGTCATGTCACTGCAACAGTTTCGTCAGATATCTCCTTCAACAAAGATCATGCCGACGACGCTCAAGCTGCGCACGTTCAAGGGAGACATCGTTCAGCCCGTCGGGGTTGCTCACGTCGACGTGCAGTACGGACAGCAGAGGACCGAGCTTCCCCTCTACATCACAAGAGAAAAGGGACCACATCTGCTCGGGCCGGCAGTGGCTGCAAGCGATCCGATTGGACTGGAACCGGATCTTCGGGATCAACAGCATTGCCAGGTCAGGTGTTTTGGCGCTTTCCGAACAACGCACAAAGCTTAGCGCGCTTCTGGAAAAGTACCAAAATCTGTTCAATAAAGACCTGGGAACTATTGCTGAAGAAAGGGCAGAGCTGGCGCTAAAAGAAGGTCACGTACCGAAAATCCTCAAGGCAAGAAACGTGCCGTTTGCCCTACAGCCTGCTGTCGAGGCTGAACTGAAGAAGATGCAAGACGTGGGCGTCATAACACCAGTCACAACGAGTGATTATGCGACGCCGGTTGTGCCAGTAGTGAAGAAGGACGGTGGAATAAGGTTGTGCGGCGACTACAAGACCACCGTGAATCTTTGCCTTGACACTGACCAGTATCCGCTCCCGAGAGTCGACGACTTGTTCGCAGCGCTTTCAGGAGGCCAGGAATTTTAGAAGATTGATTTAAACCGGGCTTCTCACCAGGTGGTTATGGCTGAAACGTCGAGCTAATACCTAACTTTAAATACACACAAAGGACTGTCTGCCGTAAACAGGTTACCATTCGGAGTCTCCTCGGCACCAGCCATTTTTCAGAGAATCATGGACACAATGCTGAATGATCTGAAAGGCGTCAGTTGCTACTTGGATGACGTCCTCATCACCGGTAGGACGCCGGAAGAGCATTTGGCCAATTTGGAAGCAGTCCTAAAGCAGTTGTCAGAGCGTGGAGTTCGTGTGAAGAAGGAAAAATGCGCGTTTTTCCAGAAGGAGCAGCGTTATCTGGGCCACGTGATCAGTGCTGCAGGTGTCAGCACGACGCCAGAGAAGATCGAGGCTCTGCTGAAGGTTGCTGCACCCTCAAGCAAACAAAGCAGCAGCTCCAGTCATTCCTGGGTATGGTAAACTACAGGGTGTCACAAAAGAAAATTTACACGGTCTTTTTTACCGTAAAAATAAACTAGGCATCGCTGAACGCTCATTCTCCGCCCAAAGGTAGTGCTAGAGGTCACAACCAGATGCCCAAGTTTCAGCCCGATCCGATAATTTAATCAAAAGTTATAAGTGATTTTCTGAAAATTTCAATGGGAAAATGGCAGCTGACGGAATTTTCAAACACTTGGGGCTCTATGGCACCAGAAACCGAAAACGGGCAAAAATGGGCTCCATTTTCCCATTGAAATTTTCAGAAAATCACTTATAACTTTTGATTAAGTTATCTGATCCGGCTGAAACTTTGGCATCTGGTTGTGACCTCTAGCTCTACCTTTGGGCGGAGAATGAGCGTTCGGCGATGCCTAGTTTATTTTTGCGGTAAAAGAGACCGTGTAAATTTTCTTTTGTGACACCCTGTACTACGGGAAGTTTGTTCCACGACTATCCACCCTGGCGAGCCCGCTCTACAGGCTGCTGCGTCAAGACCAGCGCTGGTGTTGGGACAAAGTGTGTCAAGCAGCGTTCGAGGAAATCAAGACAGCGCTAGCAGCACCATCAATTCTGGCACACTACGATCCAAGTAAGCCATTGCAAGTTGCGTGCGACGCATCCCAGTATGGCATAGGCGCTGTTCTGTCTCATGTGACTGAAGATGGAAGCACTCGTCCTGTGGCGTATGCATCACGCACACTGACCGAAGCTGAAAAGAAGTACAGCCAACTTGAAAAGGAGGCACTAGCCATTATTTTTGGGATCAAAAAGTTCCACTTATACATCTACGGCCGAGTTTTCACTCTCGTCACGAATCACAAACCGCTGCAGACTATTTTGGGCCCAAAGACAGGCATTCCGTCTATTGCGGCAGCACGTTTGCAGCGCTGGGCTGTTACCTTGTCAGCGTACAAGTACTCGGTGGTGTACAAGAGATCCAGTAACAATGCAGAGGCCGATTTTTGCTCAAGGTTCCCTCTCGAAAGTGGGAAAGACGATAGTTGCGAGGGCGAAGAGTCCTTCTATGCACTGCGCCTAGAGTCAATTGAGAGTTTTAGTAGATCGTTCCGATACCTCCGATAGCCCCGATAACGATACTATGCATGCCCAAGGGAGGCGGTGGCGGAGTATCGGGTATCGTTATCGGAGTCATGGGAACGATCTACTAAACCTCTCTAATGCCGGTGCCCTCTAAGGAGATTGCACGCGCTACGTCGCGCGACTCGTTACTTTGTCAAGTACTTGAATACACAAGCATGGGTTGGCCGACGCACGTGCAAGAACAACAACTCAGACCGTTCTTTGACAGACGCTTGCAGATGAGTGTTCATCAAGGGTGCCTGATGTACGGCATGAGGGTTGTTGTTCCGTGCCAGCTGCAGGAGCCCGTGCTCGACGAACTGCATCAAGGCCATCCCGGCATCGTGCGAAGTAAGGAGCTGGCTCGCAGCTATGTTTGGTGGCCATCAATTGACTCAGACCTTGAAAGAAAGGTACGAAGCTGCCAAGCATGCCAGGAACAGCGTAATGATCCATGCAAAGCGCCTCTTCACCCCTGGGCATGGCCGAAAGCACCGTGGAGACGACTACACCTGGACTTTGCAGGCCCGTTCCGCGGAACCATGTTCCTAGTTGTGGTGGACGCGCTCTCAAAGTGGCCAGAGGTGTTCACCATGCAGAGCACTACGACCGAGCGCACTGTGAGGTGCCTACGTGAACTTTTCTGCAGGTTCGGAATTCCGGAAACAATCGTTTCAGACAACGGGCCGCAGCTGGTGTCCGAGGAATTCAAGGTGTTCATGAGGAACAACGGGGTCAGACACGTCGTGAGCGCCCCATACCACCCGAGCACAAACGGCCTGGCAGAACGGTTTGTGCAGACACTGAAGTCTGCACGACGCAAGTCATCCGCTGGTGAGTCTCTGGAAGAAGTATTGCAACACTTTTTGCTGACGTACCGGAATACTCCACATTCAACAACAGGAGACACGCCAGCAAACTTGTTGATGGGCAGAAGATTGCGTTCCAGGTTGGATGTAATCAAGCCTACGGTAGAGGGGAAAGTGATCCACAAGCAATTTATACAAAGTAAGCAACGGAGGACAAGCAGAGAAGAAATCTGCCCTGGCGACAATGTCCTAGTGCGAAATTACAGGAGTTCACCGAGGTGGCTACGTGGTACCGTCCTCAAGAAGACTGGTCCAGTATCTTACCAAGTCCAGGTTACCACGCCTCGAGGCAAGTTCATCTGGCGTCGACACCTCGATTAACCTTTGAGCCAAACACGGCCAACGGTAACGCCGGTACCTTCGGACACCGACGATGCTGAGGGGTTCCTGGTCTTTTCACCATGCGAGCCAAGTGTCCCGACCACGGTACAAGAGTCTGGGCCACAGCAGCCTCACACCATCCCGCAACGGGATCCTGTACCTCCTACAGGCCGATTTACTTCTGAAGGACGCTACCCATCGAGAGAACGGCGTCCGCCTGGCAGATACCAAGCTCGCTCCTAACTTTTGTATAATACTGCCGTTGACGCTGCTACGTAATTAAAGGGGGAGGAGTGTTGTGTAGTTACCATCAAGCGCGCGCTACTGGGACTATAGTGGCGGCGCATTCGTTCCTTCGCTCTTCTTCTTTATCGTCATGTCAGTTTGATAGCACGAGAGGTTCGTTTTAGTTCCACGCTCCATGGAATAAACTTCGGGCCATGGTCCTCCGGTCTACTGTGTCTGTTGCCCCGTCAAGACACAACAAAAACAAACAAAGAAGTACTAATTTGGGAATGTTACCGTTCTTACCCTGTAAAGACTTGACAATAGCCGCTGCTCCGTCCAAGTTAATATCAGCCAAGATGACTCGACAGCCTTCCTTGGCAAGGGCCTGGCAAACACATCCGCCGATGCCGCCTCCACCTCCTATTACGAGAGCGAGCCTGTCCTCGAAGAAGCTCGGAAAGCTAGACATGTTTTTGTTTTTCGGTACAAGTTCAGAAACTGAGACTGCAGCAAAGATGGCACATCAGGATAATGGCACAGGTTAGAAATATCGTCACTTCTTGAATATGACGCGGCCATGTGATTTTACGTGCACACCTAGGTGGCAGGTGCGCGGTAAACTCTACGTGTACAGCGGATGGAAACCCCCAATAAAAAACCAAAACAAATATATTGCCTGTGTTTATTTTTTTTTCAACGTAACATATGTTTTATACAGCTGGATAGGCTCTTTGAGCCTACACAACTGTAAAGTTTCCTGCGATTTTTTTATATCTTCTTTCGCTTTGTTTGCATACATGTGTTTGTTTATATGCAAAGGACCTAAGACAGACTTATAAGCACACACATATCATTGTTGCCGAATCGTGGGACATTCTTCATTAGAAAAACTGCAAAAAAAACCTGAACTAAATTTGAAGGCAAGTAAATGTCGGAATTTTTCTTTTTAAATTTTACTGCCATTCAAGTAAAGATTGTCTTTCTATGTGGGGGCTGGGTCTTCATTCTAATATTAAAAAATTCCCAACATTCAGCACCACTCACGCGTATGCATATGCCACCAACACGTACGTATAGTCTTTATAGAGAGATATCAATTAATTTAAAGAACGTAGAGGCGTTAAGGCTCTTTTTTCCCTGGCGCATGGAAATAAATTGTTGATCATGGAGGCTACTAAAGAGACGAAACTAGGGCATTACTTAGGGCTGAAAAGATTGAATCATCTTTTTAGTTTTTATTTCTGGGGAGGGGGAGATGGGGTATTGTAATAGAGTGTTTGACACTCGACCTCAATATAGACAAATTTGACGTAAAAGCCCAATGAAAAAAAAAAATGTATCCGGGCGCTACAGAACAAGAAATGACTTTCTTGTACACCATTTTAAACCTAAACTAAGCCAGCGAATAGTGCCCGCGACGTTGATCCCCTGTCCTGCGCTCGCGCCGCTCAGCTTACGTCACCGCTAGCGCGACCACGCAAATTCTCAAGCCATAGCAAACAAAAAATCAGAGGCCCTTTTTGCCTCCCCCCCCCCCCCCCCACACACACACACACACGCAGACACACACCTGGAAAAAGAAAACGAGACTAAGGCAGGAAGGAGATGCAGGTTGCCATCTTAACGCACTCTTTCTAGGAAAGCTTAGGTTCTATAAAGCCTGGTCGGGCTCAAGCGCTGAGTTACTTCTAACTCAATTCAGTTCAATGCAAAGTTTTTATTCAAACAACTACAGGGTGAAACAAGGAGACGCCAGGCTCTTTAAATCGACCGGAAAATTCGGTTTCTTAACCTATCCCGCTACGACTTTGTGCAGCGTTGCCCACAGATGGTGCATTTTTTTCTGTAAAATTTGCAAAGAGCGAACTTACCTGAGACAAAAGTAAAGAAAGAAAAATGCTTAGCTCCTATGGAAACGCAGCGACGCCACCGGTCTTCAAAGAGCACGGCGCCGTTTCGCACGGGACACAAGAGATGGCGCAACGAACGCCGCCAACGAACGAGCATACGGCGCCGAGAGCCAGCGTCTTTTCGACTCAAAAGCGGCGCGCGCTCCGCAGGCGGCGACAGTCGCAGAAACAAAAGCAGGCGCGGTAACGCGGGAACAACAAGGAACTACAGTAGACTACTTCCATAAAGCCCTGCATGCAACACGGCGCGCGTTGCACTCTGGGAACTAGTTGGCCAGGGAGGAGGGCGGCATGGTTTCGGTTTCGATCGACACGTCGACAAGAGATTGTTTCCTGGTCCCGAGAGCGTCATTTGTGTTCTCTAAACTAGCCTAAATGGTCATACCTCGAAGCTTTAGCACAATCCCGAGACGTATAGCTTGTCTTAACACATGCTTGTTGTATTTTTGTACTTGAGCCTTCCTGTTAGCGTTCCAATCGAGGTATGTGGACGAGCCAGTGCTGCGAGTCTCGACGCTGCGAAGCTCGGCTGCTCTGGGATCTTGCTTGTGTACGAATCAACAAGCTGTAGCAACCAATAAGTATGCATATATCGAGCTCGCGCCTTTACATTAGTGTTATTTATCAGGAAGTTTGTTTGCTTCGTGCGTCCATAGACGAAATATTACTTTTTGCCCCCACCCGCTTGCATTCCACTAATATTCAACATCGCGTATGCGCATAAAGTTATCCTGCAATCATATAGGCAAATTCGCGCATACAGACCGTTTTAAGAATGCAAAGTCGAGCCCTTGTGTGAAGAATGTCGCACCGTTCGCCGGAAGTGCGTCAGACGGGCATGAACCCCTATGCGCACCGCATTGGGGTTCATGCCCGTCCGGCGCACGGTGCGACATTCTTCACACAAGTGCTCGAACGAATTCAAAGCGCATTCACGGTTGCTAATGGCCATAATATTTGTTATGTGTTTGCTTTCTTCCTGCCTGAGTATGCCGAGATAATTTCAGACACACCGTTCCCGGCACAGATCTCGGGCGTCAGTAAAAACTCGTCTAAAAAGGCTTAGCGAGGAGTAGGGGACGCTTTTTAGGGCCTCCGTCGTAGCTAGCCGATCTCAGCGTTTGCGAAAAGTTAATCTTCTATCAGCATAAAATTTGAGTGGGAGATATATGATGACACGAGAAAGACATCATAGTAACTTTTGTGCAGTAGTGAGGTCGAATTTATTGCGTTTCCTTAAAAGTTCATGCGTAAACGCTGGCCTCAACTTTGATACCCTGTGAGGATGCGGCTTACTTTTCGCCCAATGAAGTAACAAGAAGCGGACGTTTGGCAAACAAAATGCGTGTAAGGCTCCAGACGAACAAATTTTAGTTGTAGTTCACTGGTACTAGACGGGATTACTGACATTGAGCTCAAAGATACACTTGTGGGGTGAGGTGACTAAGCCACGACTTACTACGTTCGCATACGCACGCACAATATCCGGTGTTTCGGGAACCAAGGGAAGTGCCCCGGTCTTCGTTTTGCATCGCTCGAGAATGAGTGTAGTGTACATTCGTCAAAAGTCAGATAATCGAAAACGCAAGCAGCCCGTTCGGTCGCGGCGTGATAGCATGAGATGAAGCTGCTCAGTCGAAACCGAAACTGAGTGGCCAACTAGTTCCCAGAGTGCACTGCGTGATATTTCGCCGCGGTGGGGCGCGTCGGTTTTGGAAGAAGTCCGTTCCTTGTCTGCTAAATACGCCGGCTCTCGGCGTCGTCTGCTCGTTCGTTGGCGGCAGTTGGCGTCGTGACCGCTTGCGCCATCTCTTGTCTTCCGTGCGAAACGGCGCCGTGTTGTTTGAAGACCGGTGGCGTCGCTGCGTTTCCATAGGAGCTAAGCCTTTTTCTTTCTTTGCTTTTTTTCAGGTAAATCCGCTCTTTGCAATTTTTACAAAAAAAAAAAAAAAAAATGCACCATCTGTGGGCAACGCTGCACAAAGTCGTAGCGCGATAGGTTAAGAAACCGAATTTTCCGGTCGATTTAAAGAGCCTGGCGTCTCATTGCTTCACCCTGTACATCAAGCAGTTACGTAGGGGGCCGTCGCAAAAGACAATTAAAAATGCCTGACGAAGCGTCGACCCCTCCCCTCCCAGCTGAACGCCAACTGGAGCATAATGTTTACTTAGCTCAGATGACAGAAAATGGCTTTATTATGAAGTAGACTTTATTTTCCAATCGAAATAAACAATCCAACGCTACAATAGTGAAGCCAATACCACATAGAAGACAAAACGACCGCACGACGTCCTTATTAGTGGATCGCCCATGCGCTCTAAGCGGCCAACCCGCTGAGGTTCGACGAAGGAAGCTGCCTGGCGGAAGACGCTTCCGTCTTGGCGTCGACGCATGCTGGCGTCTCAATAGCGTTGAGACGCCACAAGACACGCTGGCGGCGATGATGACTCAAGCTAGGCGACGTTGCGTGGATTCGCAAGTGCTGACGTTTGGTGATTAAAGGTTCACGAATTGTCATCTAAGGGGCATTGGCGAAGCCCGTCTGCTACAGCCCGCCCGCGACGTCCACAGCAGCGCCCGTCATGAAAGAGCTCCCGGGGCCACAGAGGAACACGATGACGTCAGCCACCTCTTCTGGGCGGCTGGCTCTCTTTAGAGGAATGTCCTCCACCGCCTTCTTTCTTTCGTCTGGCTTTCTATTCGCTCCGGCCATAGGCGTGGTCGTGAGTACCGGAAGGACGCTGTTGACACGGATTCCCTGCGAGGCCAGCTCCTTGGCCGCCACTTTGGTGAGTGCCACCACCCCCGCTTTAGATGCGGCGTATTCGCCGCGGCAGGGAAGGCACAGCTTTGACACGAAGCTTGAAACGTTCACGATGGCTCCGTCAGGAACGTTTCCTGCAGTCATAGCCCGCGCCGCTGCTTGAGTTATCAGGAACGTGCCCTGCGAGCATGAAGACATAGCACGTAAACTGTTGTTTAGTCGTGTCTTTTTTTTAGTAGGCAAACTTGTCTGGTGTATTAAGATTGCCGTCAGAATAAAGGGCTATTAAAATTTAAACCGAAGTGTACTTCTAACGTTTAGACGTTATTTAAACATGAACAACAGTATCGGCTAACGACAATCACACATTTGTATTTTTAACGAAGGGCTATATTTAAAGCTAAGGTACATATTTACATTTAGGAGGATTAAAAAAATATTAATCCTTTTTCGGACATTTTACCAAACACAATGTTTGTCAAGCATGCAGTATGGACGCGTCCTGGTTAGTCATAATCGGTCATGGAGCTTGGGGTTGTTTTGAATGCGTTGCACATAGAACACAGTCATGCGCTGACCGGATTTATCGGAATGATCGAGACAAGTTTAGATATATTTAGGAGTGAAGTGTAAGATGAGTATCTTTTACTAAGGAGTTTCCACGGATTCTGAATATATTTTACTAAAAAGTATAGTTTACACCACGACAGATTTTACCTAGTAGGAACGGCTAGACGCTCACTGCCTCGGGGTTTTCGAATTTAAATTTGGAGGGGTAGCGGCCGCCATCTATCTCCGCGTAAACCCGTCGAGACATCGGAAACAGCCGTGTCTGCTGCCTTGGCGAATTCGGTATCCCGGTGCCTCGGCGGCAGCCCTCTCCATCGGCTCAACGGGAAACCTCGACAACGTCGATATCGGAATGCCCATGCGTTTTCTCCTACGGTGCGTTTCCAAACAGCCCTGGAAAAATGCGGCGCTGAAGGCCACCTCTCTAATGCACATGACCGAACTAGAATGTATTCTCCTAGTAAAGTATTACGGTTCTGCGTTTACCGAGGATGTATGTAGCACACTGAGTACTTCGGGCCTTTGGATATTGGGAATACCCTTGTGGTAACTGCTGTAATCGCTAGTTGAGGAAGCGTATCACACCCGCTAATCTGTCTATTGGCTGCTATGTTGTGACGTCATATGCACGCTGGTTTGTCCCTCGGTGCGTTGTGATCTGTCCCCTAACTTTATAGAATCACGTGAGAAGGTTCGCTTCTCTTCGCCGACGGTCGCGTGTTCGCGTAAGCTCCTATGAATCACATATGTCCTGCTCTTTGCTCTCTGTTACCTTTCCTCGCGGCGCGCAATAAAAACATAAAAACATCTTCCCGAGGGGAACCATGGGGTGATGCGGAGCATCTATCGGAAGAACGGAGTGAAGTGGAGTCAACAGCGGAGAACTGAACGCGCGCAGTGCGCTACCGCTGCTTTATTCACACTTGAAGGAGAGGAGACTAGAGGAGGAGAGTTGCGCATGCGCGCGCGGTGTGAGTAGAAGCGAGTGCACGCGAAGTGCACGCAGCTGCTAGAGAGAGAGAGCGGAGAGAGTAACGCGCAGGCTGTTGGAGAGAGGGAAGGAGGAGAGTTGCGCATGCGTAGTGTGAGTGCGGACTACGACGCCGCGGGACATAGACCCGAGCAAGAGATGCTCCGCATCTAAAAATAAAGAAAGCAAGAAAGTCGGGTTGGGGATCTCGCGGTCCGGAGTTCGATTCCCACTGAGCCGGTTAATAATCTCGCGTGTGACCGTGCATTACCTTTAATTATGAGTACGTAACATTAACTAAGATACTGCCCTTTCGGGACGCTTATGCATTGCCTACTATGGGATATGTATGTGTTATGTCTTGGCTTGTGTGCAACATTTTTGCCTCACACCCGAGCGTCACACTTCTCGCATAAAATCCAGCCCACAAACAAATTCTGTGTTTAGAAAAGTACGCGAGACGATATACTTAATACAAGCCTTATGTTGCCGATGATTTGTTTGTTCTGGCGGCGCGTAAAAAAGATCATGGTGTTCCTATTTTAGAAATGAACTGAAACAAAAGGAATTATCGTTGTACTTAATGGGCCGACTTTTTTTTTTACATATTATGAGAATGAAACTAAAAAGGCCCAATATCGCAACGTCATGACCAGCTTACTTTCATTTTTCTCGAAGTTAGCGAAATTACCTTCAGATTTACTCGGATGATATTATCAAACATCTCTTCGGACAAGTCAACAAAAGAGGTCTTAGGGTTTGCAATGCCGACGCAGTTGACCACGATGCTTGCAGGCCTAGAACACAGCCTGGAGACGTCCTCGAAGAGCAAAGCCACTGACCTCGACTGACCCACATCTACCTGAAGTGCTTCGTGTCCTGTACCTGCGCATTTGAAACGACCAATTGAGACGACACATAGGCACACACACGGTTGCATTCTTTACGAACGTCATGCTACTTCTAAGAGAGCATAAGAAGGACAAGAGATGAACCTTCTTTCCTCAGGCGTAATACAAACGGAAGATCCTTAATCTGTTTTAGACCCTTTTGCTGAACTAGGATGAGTGAGAAGTGTGAAAGGGCTGCCACGAGCTTTCACTCTTGCTGGGTTGTGTTTGAAACCGAAGAAAGAGCTGAACGGCGGCCATGAAATTGTTTTTCATCGGACAGCGTTGCTTTCGCACGTCAATGACAGATGAAAAAGTTCAGCTTCCGCCACAACCCAGCCCCGCCGCAGAATCTGACGCACTTCGGGATGCGTTGTGGTATTCAAAGGTGCGCTTTCCACGCAGAAAAGGTCCATAGTCACTACAAAGGTGATAATGGCAAGGAGGAGCTTCAGTTGTCTAGCCTAAAGTCCGTAGATAAGAGCTTCCTACATGTAGCGACATTCTTTGAAGCGCCGACTGCGTGACGGTGAGGTCTTAGGAAGTGAATGGCAGTGCACAGCAGAGGTTTGAACTGAGTGCCGCCATTTTGTTTTAGTGAATTGTGCCTTGTCATTTGTTTTGGTTTCGTTACTTGTAAAAGAGGTATCAACGGACTTTAGTCTAGCACCCAGCGCAAGCTTCCTTCCTCCGACAACGCTTGGGCGTCCTGTGCAGCTCGAGGGCGCGCATGCACAGCAAAAGCACGGCGGAAGGCACGGAGGGCGTTCTGAAGGCCGGCAGTTTGGAATACACGCCCTGCCATTTTCACGCTTTGAGTTACTATGGGCCTATAGCTCTCGAGTTTGGCCAGTGCCTATGGCGAGCCAAACTGAATATTTCTCGCCGCGGCTCGATTTCGCGTCGCTGGGCTTTTTCAGGTTGCTCGCGGAAGCTAAGTTGGCACAATTTTATTCGTGGATAAAATTTGAGGAAAAAAGATAACAAGAACAACACACACACAAAAAAAAAAATATATATATATTCTGTTAGAAAATCACTTTTCTCGTTTTGAATGGACAACGTGAGCTTCATTTTTTGTTTGTTTATTTAAGTTTTCCTTGTTCTTTTAGACGCACTGTTAACGCGACTTACCAGAAGCTTATTCACGCTTGTAACGACCGTGGATCATGCATGCTCGAACGCTACAGTGGCGCTTTATGTTCGATGCAAGCATTGCGTAGACCCGTTTTACGGGCCCGCTCGCGTCTCCTTGCCCAAGAGAAAGAGCCCTATAGAAAACTAGGATAGAACTGTACTCTATGTTAAAAACGCGACTACCTGGAGTTTTATTTTACCTTTCATGCATCTGTTTAAGCATTCTAGTTAAGGCTCGGGTTTGGTCTAGAATGTCCTCGACATCATGACTAGGGTACCGTATTTTCGCTAAAAACCGGTAAACTCCGGAAATGAACCCCCGGGAGAATTTTATTGACATCGGAAAAAAAAAACACAAAAAAAAACATTCAACTTTTGCGAAATGAAAACCTTTTTTCCCGGTTTTATTTTGTTTTGATTGTAGAATCAAACGACCGTCCGCGAGGCTGAGTCTTCCTTCGAAACCACACCCGTTGGGGACTTCTAGCAGACCGCACTACCGAAGCATCTGAAGCATGCTTTAAGCGCCCGGCCCGCGGTCACGGTACCAGCGGGGCGATCATTTACGAGCATGCTTCACAGGCTCCGGTAGTGCAGTTCGCGGAACGCGTTAACGGTTTGCTAAAAGTCCCTATTAGGGACTTTCAGCACGGTAACGGTTCGCTAAAAGTCCCCATTACGGACTTTTATTGAGCCGTTACCGAGTTCCTCTTACCGTACTTCCGGAGCTTCTGAAGCAAGCTTTTAAACGCGCGCCCTTCGGTCACGGTATCACCTGGTACGCGGAACACGATAACGGTTTGCTAAAAGTCCCTATTAGGGACTTTCAGCACGGTAACGGTTCGCTAAAAGTCCCCATTACGGACTTTTATTGAGCCGTTACCGAGTTCCTCTTACCGTACTTCCGGAGCTTCTGAAGCAAGCTTTTAAACGCGCGCCCTTCGGTCACGGTATCACCTGGTACGCGGAACACGATAACGGTTTGCTAAAAGTCCCTATTAGGGACTTTTAGCACGGTAACGGTTCGCTAAAAGTCCCCATTACGGACTTTTAGCGAGCCGTTACAGAGTTCCTCTTACCGTACTTCCGGAGCTTCTGAAGCAAGCTTTTAAACGCGCGCCCTTCGGTCACGGTATCACCTGATACGCGGAACACGGTATCGGTTCGCTAAAAGTCCCTATTACCTGGTTTTGTTTCTTTTAATCGTACCGGGAAATTTTCCGAAGCCGCGGACAGGCAGACTTATACATCTTACAAAATACACGGTGCTCGTTGCAGGAATGATGACAGAAGCTCCGAAAATATCTGTAGACATGTTTCGTACCCTCAACGTGACACGTCCGTCATCCAAGGAAGAAAAGCTCCCCAGACGCTGTCTACAGGCTGCCTTTTGTATAATGTATTGGGCACGTGACTTCGGGTTAATGCGATTTGTACAAGAAAAGGCGGTGGCTGGCAGCGTGAGACCGGTCTTGTTTCAGTCGCCGTCATAAAGTGCATGCTGTCTTTTTTTGTTTTAGTGTTTTTTTGTTGCTTTTGATTAAATCCGCTTTTTTTCAGTTATGCCCTTGTTTTACATGTTGCGACATTGTTGTGTTTTATTCTAGAACTGTCAAAGCATAGAAACCAATACCTTTTTTTGTTATTTCCGACGCCCCAGCACCCTAACAATAACGGTAGAGAACTGGAAATAGCGTTATAGACGGGAAAGCGGTGAGAACTCACGTAGTGTAACTTGTTGCTGCTTTTTCTCTTTTTGTGACTTTTGCTTCGATTTGCTCCCTCGGGTTTACACAATGGCGGATCTACCTCGTTCAACCTCCCCGCTTTATGGCGAATAAAGTCACTAAATCCTGGGAAGGTACCGCCATTGTCTTCCCTACCTGCTAGCCGGACACAAACGGATACTCGCATACAGACGACCAAAACCTCGCAAGGCGATTGGCTAATCTGTCTACGCTGCCATGAAAATCGCCATCTCGGTTTATTCAAATCTTCGACGATCTAGAGGGTCGTTTTGAACTATTCGCGCTAAGATCAACATAGAGCATCGTCGTATTGGAAGCGTTCCTCGCCAATATAAGCGTCTTTGGCACTGATATTCCACCGCACAGTACCGCGTCGCCAAACCTACAATACAAATATATGTTATAGGTTGGAGGCAGGCGGAAAACAATTGCTTTCTCACTGAATAAATGGTACCTCTTTTGTTAATAAATATTCCTTACGGACCTTGCTACAGTGTTATTGAGAACCACGTCTGCGTCCGGCATGCAAAGAAAACAAAATTCCCGACAATCAAAGGCTCACTCGTGAGCAAGACAATCGCAGCTTGAAGTAGCGGTCAGAGACCATGACCGCGAAAAGAAGTCGTGCACTTTTAACTCCCCCAGCGCGGTCAAAGCCTAAAGCCGGGATCACCCTGTTTATAACTGACTCAAACGACAGTCTGCATACGAATTCAAACACAAATCACCGCGAGATTCGTGCTTAGAATGCCGCATGGCAAGGGGGAAACTTCGCGCGATGCATTCGAACCACGGATATCGCGGTGACTGATGTCTGGAAGACTGTCTTTTGTATGGCAGTCTTCCAGATATCAGTCTGGAAGACTGCCATACAAAAGTATGGCAGTCTTCCAGACTGATGTCTCACCAAAGCGTTTCTCACCAAAGTGTTTGTCGATTCGGTGAGACTCGAAGCGACAAACAGAAACAGCTTACAGCGACAAGCCTCAACACAAATTCTTTCGGGATTTGGCAGGTTTTGTGGAATAAAGGAGGCTACGCTCGAACACGAGCATCATGCACGCGAGGGTATCTTTGGCAGTCTTGCAATCCCTCGTGCTTACTTTACGAGCACCGAACGGCTAAGCGCCTTCCAAAGATGCCATCGCCAGCATGCTTCATGTGTTTGAGGCTTGTGCCTGTCGATTGTCTGTGTTTATCGCTCCAGTGGGACACGGGCATATGCAGTGTGACTTCAGCTAAGAAACAAACAAGCACATGCAAAGATCAGAACCGTAAATTAAGGGCGCACTCTCTGCGCTCGATTGATGGAACCGGCGGATGGGCACGCATCGAAAGACGGGGGACGCCATGACGTTGCGCTTACGGCGTTGCCCGAGTGACTCCTCGGCTACTACCACCGGCTAGCGGGGTACAGGCCAGATCTGAAAATAAATTTAAAAAAAAGACGTTCATATGTGACCGTCATCATACTTACCCGTTAGAGACTTGGCAACAGCCGTTGCTCCTTCCAAGTTCATATCAGCCACAATGACTCGGCAGCCTTCCTTGGCGAAAGCGAGACAAACACATCTACCGATTCCCCCGCCACCTCCGACTACGAGAGCGAGCCGTCCCTCGAAGAAGGTCGAAGCGGCGTACATGGCTGGCAGGAACATTTTAGAGACCGAGGCTGCAGCAAAGTTGTAACTTCGGGAGAATGTCGCAAGTTTGCGAATCGTCCCCCTCATAAACTAGGACGTGGGTTTTTCCGCGAGCGTTCCAGTCGCAGGTGCGATCTAAGCCGTACGTGTACAACGGTAAAAGAAAGAAAAAAAAGTCGACAATTTTTGTTTTGTCTTTTACTTCATGAAAAACGGTTTATAGGGCTTGATTTGATCTTATGAGCGGTACGTGAAGAACGGGTAAACTTTTATGGATGGCGGGCAAGTTTTCAGGCCTATTTTGGTTATGCCTTGATCAATTCCACTTTTTATGGCTCTAAATTGGCGCAGAAAAGACATATTTTCACCCGAAGAACCGTGCTACCTGAGTTTTTATGTTTATTGTGATTATTAAATTATCTATAAATATAATAAAGTGTTCATAAAATGCTAATATTAAGCACTCTCTAAAGTAATCCCTTGGTACGAGTAGTGGAAAGAGATGCAGTAACGGACAGTTGAATGATTTTAACTCGCGCCACCTGGGCCCTGTCTCAAGCTTGGGTTGGGGGATCCTCATGAGGTTCGGTACCAATAAAATTTCCTTCGTTACAGTATGAAGAATGATTTGACGTTTTAATTTTCCAGTAATGGCCCATTTAAAGACAAAAGAAATGATCACCACGTTTTTTTTTCTATTCAGTTTGTAATGAAGCGATAATGCTTCTATATTCGCAACAGCCAATGGTGTCACTGAAGTCAGTTTCTATTCTGTTTGTAAAGTAAAGAATATAATCAACGGTATTCTAATTTAGAAACGCACGTGGCCCAAATTATGTTCGTGGTAAAACGCGTTTATGTGACTTGCTACCAAACCTTAATATTTGATAGGGTTTAGGATCATGACGCCTTAGGTTATAATTCCTTACACATGACTTTGGGTCAAATTAACATGAGCGATATGCCGCAGCTTGAACTAATATCTAGAAGCACCACGCAAAATATCTACAAACAAATAAAAGTCTTATCGAAAAAAAAAATGTATACATTACAGAAACCCGTGTGCTTCCTGTCGCTGAGGTTAAAGCTCGCATAAACTTCGTCTACACCGTATCCACCTTACGATGGAACGCAGCGGATGCTAGCAGTCATACCTACCAATACAACGCTCTCAAATGATCACGTGACTACGCGCTTCGTAGTAGCGGCGAGCGTCCCGTCCGTCGCGGAGAACGCTTAGGATTAGCTTCGATGGCTTTGTGGCGTGCTCCGCGGCCCATGGTTAACCAGAGTGTAGCGCTTTGTCAGTTCTAGGATCCGGTGAAAAATTGCTGCGCCTGAAACCGTTGTTTCCTTGATTGTTCTTCGGTTTGCTATGAACAGGAAACAAGTTTTACGAGTTATTTTTTTTTTTATCGCTTTTTAATGACTCTAGCGGGGACGGCGAAGAGCCCGCATTCAGCATGCGCTAGTGGCGTACCGCCTGGCTTTCACGCACGTGCGGTTCATCTTCTCGGTACGTGCAACCAACTATATTCCGGACACCCCCCACCAAAGAAAAAAAAAAATAGAAAAAACATAAGCTGCGTGGTTGCGGTATTTCGCTGCTGACTGCGTTGAAATGCAACAGCGTTAACTTTTTTTTGTTTTGTTTGTAAAATGTTAATTTCCCGGGAATACTGTAGCGGATCCCCCCGTTTCAAATGTCCACATCTTTGTTTATTTTGATTCAGTAGCAGAAAGAGCTTGCCTTGCTCTTTTATCTCTAGTCCAACATGGCTCTTTCACCTCTGCCATCTCTTTGGCACGGCGAGCCCGGCCTGCAAGGTCGAGCACGTCTTTCTTCCGAAGGCCTTGTAGGTCGCACTCACGCGGATCACACATTAAACGAAAGATACGGAGTTTCTCTGCAGGCACTCTGACAGACTTCTCTGCCGACATCTCTGCAGGGATGTGTTTCAAACAATGTATTAGCGGCGTGACCGGGCTTAAGAGGTTGTTTGCGGCATAGGCCACAAGTGCACGTTTGGCGATTCGATAAACTTTTAAGTTACATTATTACGTTTCGATTTCTGTTGGGAGCGGAGAAGCTTAACTGAGCGCGTTTTTTTGCTCTTGAATTCCTTTCTACCTCTAGGACGAAGGTCCTCCTCCTGCCATCGCGCTAGCCGCGTGTCCAGGTGGTGTTAATGTAGTATCGGGCGGCCCGCATCTCGCGATTTAATGGCCTAAACCAATTAAATAACCTTTGCTTAACTTATTGACACTCCATTCCCGGATTGGCTTGTAAGCATCGATATGTTTGTGTTTAGTACAGAGTGGCCGCTGTAGACCCGTCTCAGAAATGCGCGCTATTCGCCCTTTACGGGGTTATCCGGTAAAGTGTTCAATCAGAGAAGAACTAAATTATATTGACAGTTCTTTTATGAATATCAGCCGCACGATATCTTATTGTTTAATCCTACGCCGCACAAGTAATCCAAGTTTAAAAAACCTGGGCCCATTTGCTAGGAGCTGGTTAACTTTAACCAAGGTAGAAGGTTAACGGCATTTCCCTGCAGGAAAAATTTTAGTTCACGTGACCGGCAAAGCAAGGACGGCGGGGAAACATGGCGGTGCCTCTGCGAGAGAGCGTCGCTCGCTTTGGAACTAGTAATAGGGAATTGTAGTAGACCGTTTTTCTCCTCCGCTACGGTATCCCCGAAGAAAACGACGCAGCTGCGCAAGCGCGCCGCCAGCCTTATCTGCATAGTTCAAGGTCTTGTGGCAGATTACAGAGCGCTATCCGGGTGCTTAGCGGGCTGCGGAAACGGTCTACTACAATTTCCCAGTATGTCGTAGTTGCTGCAATACCGGGCGCGCTAATCGGCATTGAATGGTGCAGGAGGCTTTCACTTTACCTTACATCGCTTAAATCTCAAAGCATAAGCCATGACTTCGCCGCATGTTTCAGAGTTTTTCGATCCTGGCCATTCATAAGCCTAAATCAACATGTTAACTGTCGACATGGCCACGTCTTTGGAATAATATAGTGGATTGCCTTGACTCCATCCTAGTGAAAAGGTCATTTATATAAGAAATATCTGGTGTCCAATAAACACATATGAATCATACAAGATATTTAAAAACATGAGAACCATATAAGAACTATATAAGATATATAAGGACATGTGAGAACCGTATAGAATACTTATAACAAACTTCTCACAAGTTTCTTATATGGTTCCTATATGTTATTAGTTATTCTGTATGATTTATATGCGTTTATTAGACACTAACATTTCTCATACAAAGGAAATTTTTAATAGGTAATCGGCCGGGTATTGATAGCACGCAGAAGTAGACCCCGCGTCCCAATATAACTTCTGCTAAATTACTCATGCACCAAGGTGCATGTCACGCATGTCACACGTGCTGCATGTGTTGGCGTCTGCTGTAGCAACTGTTCTAAAGCAAAAGCCTAAAACAAATTTCGCGTTCGTCAAAGCCTTATTACGAATATTTAATTATAATCTTTTATACGGCGAAGGCGAGCGCGCGCGGAGTGTAGAACTACATTTTCAGCAGTCTCCTCGATGTCTGGATAATTTAGTGATACGTCTATATTCACTAGGGCTGAATTACACGGTTTTCAATTTATGATGGCTTTATATGCAAGTCTTACATGCTGGCCAACCATATGCTGCCGGCGTACCGCCCGCATTTCACTGATCAGCTCTTCCTCATCGTTTCTAGGACTGAACTTCGTCGTTCTCTTTTGAGCTCGGAAGGAAATTTCAACGAGGCTTGTCTTCACTTTCGACAGCGAAACATTATGAAAATTTCCAAACAAGAGTTAATATGGTTTTTCCTATACACAAAATTTATACCACGAGCAACAGCAATTTTTTTCTTAAGCTGAAATGTATGCCGCGTTACGTCCCGTGCAGTGCTAAAGCCCTTCGATGTGTCAATGCTTGTCTTTCAAGTAGCGTCAAATGCGCCAGTGCACAATTCCCGTGTCTCGAGCGGCCTAGAGCCACTAAATGAGCTGCGCTTAGAGTATCGGCACTCCGTTCCCCGGCATTGTTGTGGGCGCCGCCATTTTGGCTCGTATGCAGAGCAGACGCAACTGCCGATCGTCATGATTCAAAAGTGCGACTTTTTCAGCATTAGATTCGGTTGTGGAAAGGTCACGCAATATTGCTTTGCTCTGTCACGAACTATTTAAACATTTGTGGAGGGCGGAAAGGCGTTTCCTGTGATTTCAGATAAAGCTTCAGATAACTGGCAACCATGATTTTACGACACAATATGGCCAAGTGTCGTTACTCTGAAGCGTAGCTTATTTAGTGGCACTAGAGCGGCCCTTGGAAGCAAATGGCGGCAAAGCACCCGCACGTGGCACGTGTCTTCCGCTTTTCCAGAACAATGGTGGCAATACTTGAAAAAAACGCCTTTATCAAGGGGTTTATGCAGCGCGCCTTCTTGGTTCCCCCTTTTCCAGAACTTTCCACTAAAGCCGCTTATATTTGCTACAACCAGTAGGTGAAACAAGCTACCACCCTAGCATAAAACACAAAGCGGTCGCTCATCCAGCCCTCGTCAAACTTGGCCAAGTACTAGAGGCACCTATACTTTCTTTGACCTTATGATGTACCGCAGGAAACGCTACAAGCGCGAGCTCCTTGCTCTGGTTAACATCTAGGCGGCACAAACTCTCGTGACTTAAGTGCGGCTGCCAACGCTATGAGCTTGCGCTTCTAGCCTTCGCTGCGGTACAACATAAGGTGAAACGAAGTATAGTGGGGAAGGGCGGTAAATTGTTTACCGCGGTTAAAGTTGGCCGGCTTCGAGCAAACGGGCCCTACTCAGACGGCACTCACAAAACACACAGAGTTTTCGTTCAAAACGGTGAATTGGATTAGGTTCGATTTTTGTGGCGCAAAAGCATCTGAATCTTTAATGCGCCATGTACATAAATTATTGCTGAAAAGGGTTAGGGAGAAAAAAGAGCTCCTGTAGCAGATGATATG